CTGGGCTTGGTGGCTCAGCCTGTAATCCCGTGCTTTGGGAGGCTGAGGTGAGTGAATTGCCTGAGCCCGCGGGTTCAAGACCCGCTGGGCGACTTGGTGAGACCTCATCTCCACAATAAATCAAAAATTAGCAGTGCGTGGTAGCACACACCTGTAGTTCTAGCTACTTGGAAGGCTGAGGTGGAAGGACCACCGGAGCCCAGCAGGTTGAGGCTGCGGTGGCCGGGAACGGCCACTGCAGTCCAGTCTGGGCGACAGAGTGAGACTCCAACTCAAAAAAAGAAAAAAAAAATTTTTGAGGCCGGGCACGGTGGCTCACGCCTATGATCCCAACACTTTGGCAGGCCGAGGTGAGAGGATTGCCTGAGCCCACGGGTTCGAGACCAGCCTGGGCAACCTGGCAAGGCCTCATCTCTACAGTAAATTAAAAAATTAGCTGGGCGTCGTGACGTATGCCTACTTGGAAGGCTGAGGCGGAAGAATCGCCGGAGCCCAGCAGGTCGAGGCTGCAGTGGCCATGAGTGTGCCACTCACTTCACTCCAGCCTGGATGACAGAGTGAGACTCCAAGTCAGAAAAAGCCAGAAAACAAAACTGGTGAATAATCACCGAGGTGTGGGCAGGCTCATTGTCATGGTGGAAGAACCAGTCACAATCTCTTTGCCACAACTCAGGACATTTCTTCTGCAAATCATGATGCAACCTTTTCAAAACTTCCAGATGAAAACTTTGGTTGACCATTTAATTCAGAGGAACAAATTCCGAGTGTACCATGAGGGCCCCACCCTCCAAAAGATAATTTCAGGTTTTTTGGGGAGACAAGATCTTGCTGTGTTGCCCAGGCTGGCCTCAAACTCGTGGCCTCCAGCGATCCTCCCGCCTCAGCCTCCCACAGTGCTGGGATGCCAGGAGTGAGCCGCTGCACCTTCTTCTCAGGCACACTCTCAGCCCACCCCCTCGCCAAGTCCCAGGCCCCTCCTCTGCCTTGCCGCTTGTCCTGGTTTTCTCCTGTCGCGCACACGGCTTCCATGGTGGCCTCAGCTCCGCTGTCATTCTTGGTTCCCTGCAAAGCGTTTCTGCTCCAAGCTCGTCAGTGTCTCAGTGGACCCCTCAGCGGATGCAGAACTGATGCTTTCATCAGTAGACTCTCAACTTACCTTGTTTCAGTCACAGCAACTGAAAAAACCAGAAAAACCTTTGTGGGGTGTGGGGGTGAAGGTGGAAATGTGTCTCTGTGGTCGCCATGCAACCTGGCGTTTTACCAGGGCAGACCAGAGGGGTTGCTCATGCACAGCAGCGAGTGCTGGTGGGTGGTGAGCCGGGGCATATCCAGGGAGGTGTGTAGCCGCCACCACCACCACAGTCTCTAGAACCTTCTCCTCTCCACACACCGAAGCTGTGTCCCATGAGCACTCACCCCCGTCCCGTCCCTCCTTGCCCAGGTACCCCCCATCCCATGTCCTGTCTGTGGACCCAATGACCCCAGGGACCTCCTGGGAGTGGGGTCTCATAGGGTGTGTCCCGTGTCTGGGCTTCTTCATGCCCTCTGAGTCCAAGCCCAGTGTCAAATGCTCAGGCTGCCTGTCTTTCTTCCATGTCTGGGTTGTCCTCGGCACTTGATTGGGGGCACAGAGGTTTCATGTTTTCATGAAGTCTCGTTTATCTTTTTGCTTTTTTTGTTTGTACTTTTGGTTTCATATTTAAGGTATTTCATTTTGTTCCTCTCACACATAGATATTACGTTAAACTTTGGCGAAGCATGGTGGCTCTGCCCTGTAATCCTGGGACTTTGGGAGGCTGAGGTGGGAGATTGAGACCAGGAGTTTGAGACCAGCCTGGGCAAAATAACAAGACCTCGTCTACAAAAAATTCCAAATATTAGCAGGCTTTGGGGATGCCTGTAGTACTAGCTACTCAGGCTGGGGTGGGTCGCTTGAGCCCAGGAGGTCAAGGCTGTAGTGAGCTGGGATTGTGCCACGGCACTCCGGCCTAGGTGAGAGGGCGACCTCCACTCAAAAAGCAGACTTTTTTTTTTGCACTCGGGTATTCTTTTGTGTTAGGAATGCCCACCTAGTGGCTTCCAGTACCTTTTGGGAACTCTTGTGTCCCTGGGGGTGGTAGTGTTCTTTGGGATAGCTGATAAAAGTGTTAGTATGTGAGATAACCCCACTCGATGCAGCTGCAAGTACCATGTTGTCGTCATAGGCAGGGTGGCACGCGTGATCGTGTGCTGGGGCAGGCCTGAGGCCAGAGTGGGGCTTGTGGAACACAGCTCTGCTTGGGACTTGCCCTGTCTTCTGCATGCCTAGCTTTTGGCGCCGCTGCCCGGCGGTGGTCCTAGGGTGAGGCACGACGGGCTCGGATCTCTGGCCCTGCACTCTGTCCAGGCCTGGGCAGCCTGGGGCCGCAGGCCATCTCGCAGGTCTGCATGTATTGTGCACCCACTGCGTCGTCCTCCCCTGAGCTCTCGGTGTGTGTGCTGCTTGGGGATGTGTGTGGATTTCAACATACTGATTTCAAACCATTTCAATGGTTTTTTTCTGAACAGAATCGAAAGGAAAATCGCAACAATCTCCCTAGAAAGCAAATCTCCCCCCAAAACCTTGGAAAATGGTGAGTGACATGTGTTCCCTGCCACCATTCCCGCCTCTGTCCCAGGTCCTGCCCGGTGTGGTGCCCATGTTGGCGACCCACTGGGCTTCCAGAACTGTCTGCGTGGCCTTCCGTGCAGTCCAGACTTCTGCTACGCACGGCGCTCCTGGGACAGGGTGGGCGGCCCCGGGGTCTTGCTGCACCCCTCGTGCCCTCGCCACGGCCCCCCGGCTGTCTCCCCACATATGTGCTATCCCTCCATCTGCTCGGGACAGCCTGTCCTTCCCTCTCAGAGGCTGTGGGGCCTAGGCCGATCCTGCACGCCAGCCCTGGTCCCGTCTCGTCTCACCTGCCTGTGGTGGACACGACCCTGAAGCCCTTCGAGGGCAGCCTGGGCAGCGCTGCCTCATGCCCCTGCTTTCCCTCCTGCCAGGCGGCCCCTTGGCAGGCCGGAAGCCAGCGCCCGCGGGCGAGCCCATCAACAGCAGCAAGTGGAAATCCACCTTCTCGCCCATCTCCGACATTGGCCTGGCCAAGTCTGCGGACAGCCCGCTGCAGGCTGGCTCTGCCCTGAGCCAGAACTCCTTGTTCGCCTTCCGGCCTGCAGCAGACGAGCCCGCCGCCGACACCAAGCTGGCCGCCCACCCCCGGAAAGGCTTCCCCGGCTCCCTGGCGGGTGCCGACGGGCCCAGCCCCAACAGCAAGCCCTCCAATGGCTTCGCTTTCGGCGGGGGCCTGGCCACAGACCTCAGTTTACACAGCTTCGGCGACGGTGCTCCCCTGCCCAAGGGCCCCGAGGCGGCCGGCCTGGGCGCCCCGCTCAGCTTTCCTTCGCAGCGGGGCAAGGAGGCCTCAGAGGCCAACCCCTTCCTGAACAAGAGGCAGCTGGACGGCCTGGCCGGCCTGAAGGGCGAGGGCGGCAAGGCCAAGGAGGCGGCCGAGCCCGTGGACAAGGGCGCCCTGTCGCTCAGCAAGACCAAGGGCCGGGACCGCGAGCTGGACCTCAAGAACGGCCACAACCTCTTCATCTCGGCGGCCGCCGTGCCCCCGGGGGGCCTCCTCAGCAGCCCTGGCCTGGCCCCGGCGGCGTCCTCCACAGCCGGCGTGGCCCCCTCCGCCCAGACGCACCGGCCCTTCCTGGGCGCCTTCCCCCCCGGGCCGCAGTTCGCCCTGGGCCCCATGTCCCTGCAGGCCAACCTCAGCTCAGTGGCCGGCTCGTCCGTGCTGCAGTCGCTGTTCAGCTCCGTGCCGGCCGCCGCGGGCCTGGTGCACGTGTCGTCTGCTGCCACCCGCCTGACCAACTCGCACGCCATGGGCAACTTCTCCTCCGGGGTGGCTGGCGGCACAGTTGGAGGTAGGCAGGGGCGTGTCCTCCCGCCGGCCCCCGCTCCCGCACGGCCGCCAACTCCCTCCCTTGCAGGTTCTGTTCCGGGCCCCCCTGAGGGCACGGAGCTGTGCCCGTGGGTCCCCGCTGCCCCGTCCCAGGCACGACATCCAGGCGCTTGTGTGCAGCGTGGCCTCGCCGAGTGCGGCTGGCGGGGCCTCTGTTGTAACGGCGTCCCTCTTGTTTCCAGAAGGCGCGGTGCACACGGGCTCCGGGGTGCCCCTCTCGCCCACGGCGGTGGCCCGGTTAAGAGTGGCCGCCTGGGCCCTGGCTCCGCCCCGGGAGCCAGTGTCGGGTGAGCGGGAGCCCCGCGGCGCCTGCCCAGACGCTGGCGGGAGAGGAGCCCGCCC